TTCACACAGTGCCTCAGGCTTGGAAATGAATCCGTACCTTTGGTTGTTCACTGGCTTCTGCTCCTGTTCCGGTCTAACTAACCTTGGATAAGTTCTCCGAGCCCTCGAAGGGGACCTCAGATCGCTCTCCAATGTGAAGACTACTACAGACCTTACAATAAGATGCAAGAGCCTGAAGCGGATCTCCAAATGAATTAATGCGTTTGGGCTGGCCATCGGCAAGTAATCCACATCATCTCTCAGTGCTCGCAAGTTCGACGAATCAAAAATGCAAGGCTGATTGACACGTAACTACTCCGATCGAGGGAGAACTAGCCATTGCTGACCGATCTACCAACTCGCCGTTTCGTAACAATGCCGAATTCAACTGAATGAACGCTTTCCTCAGCACTAGCAAGCTAGCACGAATACCGGCAGATCTATCAGGATTTCAGTCATTAGAGCCCTCGACAGAACTAGAGGATTGGCGAGATGCTCGCTATATCATAGATCCGGAAGGTGTGCACTACTGTGATTACAGACTTAACTGAATGATTGGCGAGATGCTCGCTATATCGAATCACGTTCGTACTATGAGGCTACTCTCCAGGTCCTGACCATCCGTAGATGCGCTGCTGGATTCTCACTCCCATGTAAATAGGAAAGGCTGCGCTGTATTGACGGTTTGATCTTTGATTAGTGTTTGTTGTGGGCCGAGTCTACGTTCGGGCTGACGAGTCGATTTGGTACCGTATCTGCTCATTTTGGTGTTTCAGGTGCATTTTTTGGTGTCCGCGAGGACTTAGCCGTTTTTGGGCCGAGCTCTCTGGCGGGCGATCGGGCTGATTTGTAATGAAAGTTCGAAATTGCTAATGGAACGGCCTCGAGTCGGACCCTCGTTGTAATGAAAATCGGTCTTAGTAATCAAAAGTTCGGCAATACGCGCGGTGAGCACACATAACTACGTAGTTATGTAGATATGCATCATATGCATGTACTGTACGAGTAACAGGTTGATCGTACATGTCCTGCCGTCTGTGGAGGCAAAAGTGTGTTTTCATTAGGATTCTTATTGTAATGAGTCGGACCCTCGTTGTAATGAAAATACGAGTGTACTAATAAAAGTTCGCCAATATGCATGCGGTCGAGCTGAAACTATATAGACCTGGAGATGTACACGATGCGCATGTGTGTACCAATTTACAGCCTGCTACGATGTCTGCACGACAAGTTGGCGGAACCGGTCGATTTGGCCCCCAACTTTGGCGAGGACTTAGAGTGTGCAAGATGGAAAGGACAAGGGGCAAACGGGTATATCTCCGCACATATACATTTTACGGCCTTAAAAATCTGCACACATGCAGATGTGATGTAGATCTAGGTGTGTGTCAAATTACAAGTTCTATCGACATCTCCTGACGGAGCTATGAGCATCGGCGCTCTGAGTGGCAGCAAAAAGCGAAGCGGTGCAAAAATGAAGACCTACGGCACCTCGGATTCCCATGTGGTCCCCCACCATAGTACTAACGAGGCCCTAAGCAGCTTAACTTTGCAGATCGGACGGGATGCAGTGATTTTTGCTTGGTATGGCCGTAGATGGAAGGGTAGGAACGCAATGAGTATATGAAGATCAATCCGGGCAAACGCTCCAACTTTGAACCGCTCTGCGTCAGCCACAAGAAGTCCAAGCGCTTAGCTGAAGGTCGAATAATGAAGCTTAGCATCACATTAATCTATGGTGAGTTGCGCAGAAATGGGCTTGACTTAGGGGCACTATATCTAAATAAAACGCTAGAAAACGCATGTTTGAAGGGCTGTGCGACAGCCAATATTGACGCTACTGCTACGAGACAAGTCGCGTTATTAATCTGAAGTTCCACTTTATCATATCCCGCAGTGGCAACACAAGTTTCGCACTTATAGACTTTTCCTGGTAATGAAAGCTAATAAGAAGGTAATGAAAGGTAATAGAACGCGAGTTAGGGCTACCACAGGCTACCACAGTGCTTTGACGCACGTCGGATAGGGTGTAAATATATTGTAGAATACTCGTGGACTTTTAATAATGCTTATTCGGGTATTAGTGAAGGTGTACAGGTGTTTTAATCCGAGAAGTCGTTAGCAAATGCCGGGTTAAGTCTTATGTACATGAATAAACATTAACCAATGTTTGTTAATGCCGCCTATGTTTATTTAATGTTTACTAGTCTTCAACAACGTTGTTTTAGTGATGATTAATGCTGAAACGCTAATGATAATGTAGAAACGTTAAAGAGAGACCGGGACGGCCCTAAAGAACCGCCGCTGGCTCGCGCTGACGCGCGTTT